GCAATAAAAGCAGTCCAATAGCGTGCAATAGAATTGTGTCTGTGTAGATCATGCGGGGGGAGGAGGGGAGATACAGAGCAGCAAAAAGCAATGAAAGCTTTACATAGTATGGAAGGTTGTTCCATGTGGTTTTGTTGTTCGGTAGCGACTGTCCTTCCTAGAATCGGATCCTTTTACAGCTTGCTGTGAAAATCATTTCCTAGCACCTGAGAAACACCCAAGGATGGAATCGCACCTCCCCATGGCTGCTGGGTATTAACACGACGACGATGGGTGCACTGAATCAGTCCCGGCTCACAAATGATCTCTTTGTTGAGCTTTTAGGAGACTGGGAGCAACATAGTAAAGAGTTTTCTTATGATATACTGGCCTTGCCAGCATGCAACTATGATACTGTGCATCTCAAATGAACGTCTCCTTGTGGAAGACAAAAAACGAGATGCCGCTACTAATGGATCAGGATGGCCAGCCCACCCCTCATGGAGACAGTGAGGACATTCCTAAGGAGACATCTACACAGAAACTGGAGCTCTGCTTAACTGCTCGGGAGGACATGCCCACCCTGGCTTGATTGATGGGATTGGACTTGTGCAGCTAGCCCAAGCCACTGCCTGTGCTCCTGCACTACGCTGCTATTTTTAGCATGCTAGATCAATCCGATCCAGTACTTCTATGACTCTGGAAATGGCACCTCCCACTACAGTGGGAAATCTAGTTTTCTATCGCTAGGAATTCCCTGAGCTCTAATTCTAATGCATTCCTCCAGCACGGCAGTACATTTTACAATACTGGGTATGTCTCCGGGTGCTCCGATCTGATATACCACACAGCTGAGGAATGTAAACACCTAACCAGGGGAGTGGAAAACACCATCAGACTTTGGCACCTGCACTCTTTTTTGTATATGGGTCCTTCTCTAACGGAGCTGCACACCCACAAACTTTGTAGCCTTGATCTCAAGAGGAGGAAAGAAATGTGGGGTTAACAGATGCCGGGACAGCAAGGAGAAGAACCTTATTTTCATTATAAATTTAAAAAACAACAAACAGTCTGGTAGCACTTTAAAGACTAACAAAACATGTAGATGGTATCATGAGCGTTTATGGGCACAGCTCACTTCTTCAGATGTTAGTATCGAAGGTGTCATAGGCCTACTCATTTTTAAGGTACCCCAATGAGTTAGGCTATGAAGTCACTTAGGCACTTTGTAAATGTCTTTGATCTCTCTATGCTTCAGTTCAGGACTCATATATCTTCCTATTTCACAGGGCAAGTGTGAGGATAAAATCCTCAATAATCCATCCATGACTATATGGATAATGGGGATTATAAAAGAACACATACAGATAGACAGGAACAGTCACATCTTAGAAGCTACAGAAACCTGTAGCAAAACAGTTTAACGGTGCAAATCTTTCTTTTTGAAGCTCAACCTGTTCCTGGTATGGAACACACTAGGCTGAAAACATTTATTTTAAGGAAACATTGCTAGTCCACAGTGCCTGGCTCAGAGCTATCTCCAATGGCCCTAATCAGGTTCACAATCCCCAGGAATTCACACACAAGTGCATCCCCCAGTTAAAAACAGACACAGGGGTCAGAATCAGGAAATTTTAAGCCCAATATTAAAGTGCTTTTTAAGACCATTCAGAAGGGAAATGTATTATTTTTACAGGATCTCTTTATAAGTAAATGTTTATTAAATTATCACTGCTATGACTACACCACAAGTGATGGCCTCAAATATACACCTTCCATTCAGCAATAATTTGTGCTTTCTTTTTGTAATAACTAAGGCAATAAGGATCTCATTGGATTAAGGCACTTTATAATTGACATTGTGGAACAATAATATTTAACTATATAAAGTTGTATATCCACCCATGCAAATTTTCTCCCCATATGAAACAGATTGAAGGCTACTGAAATTCCTGGCCCTGCTGAAGTCAATAGGAATTTTGCCATCAACTTCAATGGGGCACGGATTCCATTCTCTGTGATTTGGTTCAAGGTGGTTTAAAATCTTCAGTAAAATCACAACAGCAGAGACAGACGCACACACCAGAAATTAAGGCACACAGATACCCCAAAGGGTATCCAGATAATCAGGAATAAAACCCAATTAATCATGTGTTTGAAGTCCTAGAAAGCCGGACTGACATTTTCAAGGTTGCCTGAGGGAGTTAGGCACCCAACTGCCATGTAACAGCCCTCAATGGCTCTTGTGAAAATCCCAAGTCAGATGAACGTGCTACTGTGGAACTAGAAGAGCAGCCTCCAGATTCCAGCTTTACACAGGTGACAACATAAAAAAACGTTGTCTCCTATCTCCCATCATGGAGAGTGAAAAATCATCTAAGCCAGGAATTCCACACACCATTCACTGTGGGAATTAGCCTAAGACTCGGAGACCAGTTTTCAAAACCAGCTTTTTCCACACAGTTCCCATCTGGCCACCAATAACTAGGGATGTAAGCAACTAGAAATGTAAGCAGGAATCCCCCACTGGCCCTGCACTACCTGAGGGGCTTCTGCTTTCGAAATGTACAAGTCTTGTACATTTCAAAGGCTCGGGCGCTGCAGGGAACGATGGGCCAGTCCCCCACTGGCCCCGTGCTTCCTACAGGGCTTCTGCTTTTGAACTGTAGCAAGAACCCAATAGGGCTCTTGCTACAGTTCAAAGGCAGAGGTGCCCTTATAGACTAATCGAATAGTCGATGGAAATCCCATCGACTATTCGATTAATTAATCTAAATTTAACATCCCTACCAGCAACCCACTTGTTCTCTCTGTTCCTCAGTTCCCCTCCTATAAACTATGAAAATAATACTTCCTTTCTCCCCGCCATGTCTATTTAGACAGTCTCCTCAGTACATAGACAGTGAGAATTTTGTTCAGGATCTCTAGGGGTATGTCTACGCTACACCCCTTTTTCGAGAAAGGGATGTAGATTAGGCACATTGATGTTGCAAAATTTAAATATCCCACGCTTCATTTGCATAATGGCGGCCGCTGTTTTTTTTCGAAACGGGGCTTTTTTGGAAAAAAAACGGCAGTCTAGACGGGAATCCTTCGAACATTAACGCCTTTTTTGAAAAGTCCCTTATTCCTCAAAAAATGAGGTTTACAGGATGTTTTGAAAAAGGGTTTAATGTTCGAAAGATCCCCGTCTAAACTGCTGTTTTTCTATCAAATGTACAAGTCTTGTACATTTCAAAGGCTCGGGCGCTGCAGGGAGCATGGGACCAGTCTCCCGTTGGCCCCACACTCCCTCTGGGGCTTCTGCTTTTAAATTGTAGCAAAAGCCCGGCCGGGTTCTTGCTAGAGTTTAAAGGCGGAAGCACCCTTATCGACGAATCGAATAGTCAATGGAAATCCCGACTATTTGATTAGTTAATTCATCGAAATTTAGCATCCCTATTAGGTATTATCTATTATGCTGAATTAATTGTGTATTGAGATATCAATGGCAAATATTGAAGAGTGTCGTTTCAGCTACTGCCGGATAACACTGTGAGCTTGATTATAGATGCAACTTAAATGCAACAAACTGTAAGGAAAAGTTTCCTCTTTTATTTCCTCTTGTGTGGGTATTATAAACCTGCTGTGTTCTGATGCCAGCCAATTTTGAGCCTGATTGAGCAGCTTTGTCATGCATAACGGAAGTCCTGACACATTGTAATCTCTGATTTCTAGGATACTGGAGCTTTTGTGTTATTTATTTCTTAGAAGATTTACCCCATGCTGCTCGGGTCCTTAACTCAATTCATTTTTAGGTTTTTTGGAAAGTAAAGTGACAATGTCCAGATTTCATTTGAATCATTGCTCGGGGGTGGGGCTGGGGAGGTTGGGTTCAGTATACAGGTTACTCTGGAGAGAGAGGACAGCTCCAGCCCTCTCTTACCGCAGCGTGCCTAATGTCCATCCCTTTCTCGAAAAAGGGGTGTAGTCTAGACGTACCCTAGTAGAAAGATTCACTGTTCCCTATCTCCTGTTCCTCACCGGAACCCGTTCGGAAAAAAACCGGCAGTCTAGATGGGAACCTTTCGAACATGAAAGCCTTTTTCGAAAAGTCCCTTACTCCTCAAAAAATGAGGTTTACAGGATGTTTTGAAAAAGGGTTTAATGTTCGAAAGATCCCCGTCTAAACTGCCGATTTTTCCCGAAAAAATAACTAGGGATGTAAGCAACTAGAAATGTAAGCAGGAATCCCCCACTGGCCCTGCACTACCTGAGGGGCTTCTGCTTTCGAAATCCATCCCTTTCTCAAAAAAGGGGTATAGTCTAGACGTACCCTAGTAGAAAGATTCACTGTTCCTTCTCTCCTGTTCCTCACCGGAACCTGTTAATTTTCTCCATCTCTTGCTTTTCCAGTAGGGCCATTTCCCAAGCCTCTGACCCGGCTATCTCCTGTTCCTCACCGGAACCCGTTACATTTTCTTCATCTCTTGCTTTTCCAGAAGGGCCATTTCCCAAGCCTCTGACCCGGTCTGGTTGCTCTTCACATCGGGAACAATGTATTTTTTGCAAACTGTGCAGTGCTGAGGGCATGGTTGGGATTAAACAGCACACAGGGCCCCCCCCCATGTAAAGTTTCCAGAATGAGTCTCCATGCAAGACCTTCTTGTGAGGATTATCTCCTGATCTGTAATCTCCTAACGACCTGCAGCTGTCATCAGCAGGAGACTGTGACAGACAAGGTACTTCCTACCAGGGCAATCACATATTGCCCCTTTGTATTTAAAATGGGATTTAGAGTTACGGAGGAATCCTCAGTCTTTGCCTCCAATCACCCCGCCACTGAGCTCCGTTAGAAGTGATGTCTCCCAGTGCTCCATGCAGGGGTGGGGAAAGAGAGTATTGTATCAATACAAAAATTCCCTGGAAAGAACATCAAAGCAGCCTGCTCGGCACTCAGATCCCAGCTGTCACATTTTCTCATTCCTTGCTAAAATGGAATTGCGACTTTTTGTTTGTTTGTTTTCTGCCCAGCCACTTACTCAGCCAGTTCCTCCAAGCTCCGATAGACGTCATCGTCATTCTCTGTTGTCTCCTCGGAAGGGAAAGGTCTGGAAGAGAAGAGAGAGGAAGGACGTTATTGGTAATGTTGGCCTTTTACATAAGACAGTCATCATTTGCTGCAGCCCATGAGAATCCGAACATCGTGCCAAGAAGGGGCTGCTCTGGAACAAAAACCTCCATCAGCATTACACTTATTTGTATCACACATCTCCAACCCCACCGGCATCAGCTGTGCTAAGATCTCGTCTCAGTTTCAGCTCAGATTCAGGGTTGTGGCTGCGGCAGGAAATGAAATCATGCCAGAGCACAACATCAAGGAGACCTGTTAACTCACACAGTGTTAAAACGGGACTCCACAGTCAATGGAGACGCAGGCAAGACATCATTCATATTGTGGTTGCTGGCCCTGGTTCATGGGTTCTGATAGGATTCAACCATGACACGTCAGACATGACTTGTCCATGCCTAGGAGGGCTGCAAAGTCACATCTGACATTGTAAAAACTTAAAAAACAACGAATAGTCTGGTAGCACTTTAAAGACTAACTAAACATGTAGATGGTGTCATGAACTTTTGCGGGCACAGCCCACTTCTTCAGATGACCGGAGTGGTTGGACATCCAGAACCATGGTGTTGGTTTATGTGACTCTGGGGTTTTGCTTTAATTCAGGGGCGGGGAACTTTTTTGGGGTCGGGGGCCACTGAACCACAGAAAAATCAGTCGGGGGCCACACACAAGTGATGTGGCCCACTACTGAGAAGGGGAAAGACACTCTCCATATTCTCCTCCAACACCAGAGCCTAGGGGAGCCCAGGCTAATAGATTCTGTATGCTCCAGCCCCACAGTGGAACAGTGGCAGGGCTGGAGCATCAGTGTGGGCTCCCCAATGCTGGGAAGGACCTGAGTCTCGAGGGCCAGATCCAGGCAATCCAGGGGCCACATCCGGCCCGCGGGCCTGAGGTTCCCCTCTCCTGCTTTAATATGTCCAAATTCCCTGTTGGATACCAGCCCCAGGTGCCGATGGTAGAATGTTCATCTGCGATCACAGAGAAAGTCTTGGTGGGCACTCCAGATTTTGGACATCATGGATTTAACTTGATTAATTTGACTAGAACAGGGCTACTCAACTTTGGAAGCTCCGGGGGCCACAGTGATACCCACAACACATGCCAAGGGTCGCAACTTAAGTGTGGTTGCATATCCATGCAAATATATGCAAATAACTTCTTTCACACTGACGGGCATGAAAACAAAGATTAAGGCAAGACTACCCAATACGCTGGCCCCATTTAAGTCAGTTCTGCTGATATTAATAAAATGCAATATTAACCCAATTTCCACCCATATAACAGCACTTTTAATGAGCAATGACAATCCAGGAATTTAACCACTAAAACGCATATCAATAGAAGGCCATTATTCTGACAACTTTTTTGTTTTGGCACCCACCCATGAGCCGTGTGTTGAGCCCCGAGTAAACCCAAACCACACCGCGGGCCACATGCTGTTGAGTACCCCTGGACTAGAACGTGGTAACCAACTCATGCTAACTAATGCTCTCTAAAACCTTAGTGCAGACAAGGCGGGTCAGATGAACATTTGCAAAGCGGGCCAAGTTGATGCCTAGTCTCCATGACAACTATTTGTGGGGTTTCTTTTCTTTGGGGGCGGGGGAGGGAGATGGGGGAAAGTGAGCAGCACCCCCCACACTGGGCTTGAACCTGCGTGGCCTTCCATTTCACACTGGCATTTATACCTCATAGCAACTGGGTGTTAAAGGCTACCAACTCCCAACTTCCCATGCCGTGCGAGCGCATTTTTATTAGTTGTTATTTTCTATCGAGGGAGCTTCATTCTTGCCCCAAAACATCCCTGTGCTGGCCGCTGTACAAATGCACCTTTGGGTTTGCAAACACAATTTTACACTCACCATGGCCTCGCTTAGCACAGGTGAAACTGACTATAACGCCAGGCGCAGGGAGCTGAGGAAACAGGGCCGCTAGAACTAGGGGATGCAGCCGCACTCCTTCGCTTGAAACGGTTTCCATCATATACAGGGCTCACAGTTGTGTTCAGTGGCTCTCAGCATTCCCACTCCACACATTGTTTCTGTGCCTTTGGAACCAGTATCTGGGTGCCCCATCCTGCTAGAGTTACTGCACGGCATTGGTCCAGCCCTAATGACTTCCATCTGCCATGAACAAACACATCTTCAAGTACAGTCCTGGTGAAAAATGGTCTTATTTTCTTAAACGAGTAACAGTCCGAGTGCTTTAAGACGCTAGAAGCCCTGGAGGTGTGGGAAATGAACACACACACACCAAAAAAAAAAGGAGGGGTCGATTAGAAGAGTACAGAAATAAATTCCTTGGCTCACTCTGAAGCAATAACCAAATAACGCACGGAGGAGAAGAAAAACACCGCTTTAATTAAACCCGATATATTATTGCTGGCCCAGGCCTCCATGGGCTCATGTGCTAGAAGGGATGGATGCCTCTGCTTACTAAGGAGTCCCTGCCGAGGGCCCAGCCCATCTCCCAAAGTCACTCCACTTTCACTCCACATGGCCAAGCGGTGAGTCCCCGGACCTTTGTCAGAGCTGCTAACTGGCTGAACAGAGGACTATGAAACCAGATCAGCGTCCCTCTTGTCTTCTCTTTGTGCAATGGCTATCAGGAGAATTTATAGCGGAAGGCGGGCAGGAATCAGAGAGCGGGGAACGGAGACACATGGAAAGGATCCATGGAACTCTGGGTCCTTTAAATTGTTACAGCGCACCCTGAAGCCCCAGCAGTGCTGAAGGGCTGGCTGGGGGAGACTAGCTCTGTAGGTGCTGGAATTAGAGGTGCCGGGGGAAAAGGCTGGGGGTGGGGGAGGATCCAGCACCCCCTGGCTTGAAGTGGTTTCCATTAAATGCAGGGTTTACAGTCTGGCTCAAAGGCTCTCAGCACCCCCACTATATAAACTAGAGGTGTTAAAAAGCAAATTTCATACGGCAACCGTGTAACCGCTAAAAATTCTTGGCGGTTACACGGTTACATGCGCTGTGGACTCTGCAGCATAAAGCTTAGTTTTATACTGCACAGCCTGCAGCGAAATCTCCCCGGGAGCAGGGCTGTGGAGGTGGCTTTGCCTTGGCACAGCAAAGCCGCTTCCCCAGGAGCTGGCTGAGTTTAACCGATGCTATTATCAGCTTATCGGTTAAATGGCTGATCGGTTAAACTCTAGCATCCCTAATACAAACTGCTCTAGCACTGCTGGCTAACTCGAGGCCCCGCCCCTTCTACTCAAGGCCCCGCCCCTCCCACTCAAGGCCACGCCCCTTCCAGGGGGCCTGACGCCTGCTCCCACAAGGCCACGCCCCTCCCACTCAAGGCCACACCCCTTCCAGGGGGCCTGACGCCTGCTCCCCACAGATCCCGTCAGAGTCTCTTGTCAGCCGTGGGTAGAGGACTCCCCATAGCACCATCCAGCTAACATACTGCCTCTGATATTAAGGTTTTGTGTGATCAAAACTGGATACAGGTGAACTTTTAACCACTCCCAAGTTTAATTTCCTCCTTCTCTGGTTCCAAAATAGAGTTGCATGAAAGATTTAACACACGGCCGCACCAGCCCCAGATTTTGCTATTCTTGGATCAGTTCACTAGCACTAATTTGCCTCCCACCTTGCCTGACCTTCTCCCCTCCCTTGGCAATCGCATCAGACTGAGTAAATGTTTCTTAACAGGGCTCCAGCCTGAAGTTAGCTTGGTTCAAAATAACACGGCACCAAAGCACTGAACCGGAAAGAGAAAGGGGCACACTGCCCACCGAGCTGTACAAGTTGGCTCCAGCTGGAGAAATGGGATCACGTGCCATGAGTCTGCATGCATGACACAAACAACGAACTTAAGAACGTAGTTCAGACAACAGTTTCTACCGGGTCTAGTCACAAGGGACCCACATCAGGGAGCTGGGGTCAATGTGGCCAACTGCCATGATTTTATCTCCCGTCACATGAAATTGGTGATTGTTGTTTCTAGCCCCCCTGGATACACAGGGAAGCCTGGGAATAACGAAACACGTGCCTCCGAAAGGCTCACAAGCCTGAAGACAAAGGACCAGAGCCCAGACGCGGATTCTCTTATCTTGACAAACTCCTGATTTTCAGGAGCTGATTCATGGGTTTTTGAACACTTGCGGCTGGCGACTGAGGGTCTGTGGTTTTCGTTTTATTGACCCATCTTTGAGCGGGCGCATTTCTTTGTCTCCTGTGGCAACCGGGTCAGTGACTAATATAAAAGACACATGAACCTCAGACAAATTAATCCTGTGCAGGTCTCCAGCTACTAACGTGCGTGGCTGAGGATCTCATGGAAACGGGCATCAGATTCTGCTGGAGACCACGGAAACAGAGGAGGTTAAGGAACTGGGTCACTGTGCAGCAGGGCTGGAGTGATTGCAAGGAAGGGAAAAGAACCTCTTCCTGCCCTAGGCTGAACACAAAATTAATACTCACAGGGTGAAATACAACCTGGGCAAAGGTCAAGCACGAGCCTTGTGTGCTCAGTGGGACTTAAGCAGTGAATAATTCCAATGCCGGCCTTGTGCAAAGGAGAATTTGGAAACCCTTTCTACATAGTTCACTCCCTTGCTGGGTTGCTGTGAGACTTGACATTTTTAAAAAATGCTTCAAGGTCCTTGGGTCTAAATACTTGGACTTGCAGCTTTTTGTGATCCCGCTCAATGTTTACTGTAACTTTAAATCCACCTCGTAAAAACAAACAAACAAAAATCAAGGCAATCGATTTGCCAATCCCACAATGCCACGTTGCATCCTGCCCGACTTTCATTTGCATACAGATTGCTCGGCAACAGGAGGCAGCATAGGACACAGTCGTGCCAGGCTGGGATTCGGGACACCTGGGCTCCATTCCCAGCTCAGTCTCTATCACCCTGGGCAAGTCATTTAATGTCTCGGCGACTTCGTTTCTTCATCTGAAAAATGGGAATAAAGATACTGAGACAGCCTGGGAGTGTTTACTCAAAACAGATCATCCATC